CGATCTCCCCAACATGGCCGCCGTTGGTCCTCACTTGTCTTGAATCGTATGCTAGCGAGCGACCTGCCCGGCTCGCCGCCATCTTAGGCCTAAACCTTTCCTAAACGCTTTGCTCTGTTTTTCCAGAAATTGTTATTTTAGGCTTTGACAACCGTGTAGAATGCATTTTTGTCACTACCAATGGCACAGCTTAGGTTTTAAGAAAAAAAACGAGTGTGCAAAGTCGCGAGGTGGGCGCGCGATTTCATAACAAACAGCCGCCATGTCGGGGAGACGGCAAGTGATGATGAAAATATTTCAACTACGTTTTTCTGGTTGATGAGAAAAACTGATGAGAAAAACACTAGCGCATTACTGTCGTTGGCGTCTCTCTACCCAGTATAGGACTCTACGTAGAGTCGCGTACGCGTACGCGGCGCAGGGGGTTGGGGGGGGGGGGGGGGGCGTGATCCTTCAACACCACCTGTTGCATTTAGAGCCGCGTCTGGGTAACACCACGACAATGGACACCTTGCTCTGAGTCCGCTAAACGCACGCGTGCCGCCCTCGGGTGCGTCCTTTTCAGCTACTTCCATCACGTCGATCGCGTCGAGCGCGTCGATCGAGCTCGACGCACCGCCTTCTATTGGCACAGGACAACGCAAGGAGAACGTTTCCGCGCGTACACAGAGGGCACTGACATCCGGGAGTTTGTTTTCTTGCTTGTCTGTTTAGTTATACGTGTTTGCGAAGCCGGGGAAGCATTAATTTGGTGTCTGTCGTCGGTAGATTGTTTTGCTCCATAACAACAACAATGGATAACCGTAATGTAGGCTTATTGGCATGTGCTAATGCAGTAGCGGTGGCTGCGTTTGCGATGGAAGATGGCCTAGACGGTACGTATGCTCTGAAACTGAAACAGATGCAATTTGTTTAATACTGTAATACAGGCATATAGAAGAACTTCAGGGAAAGCATTCTGCCACTCACTCACCTCTACTGTACAAGTATTAGCAGTTGGATCATAATCTGATACTGAATCCACTGCCTCATCTGACAGATTCAGCAAAAACGAATGTTTATGCGCCTTTCTGTTTAAGAATCTATGGAAGTGTGTCTGGGCAACCACAACAAAATTTCAATAAATTTAATAAAGTATACATATTTGCACTTTTACAGACCACAGCTAAAATATACAGCACTCACTTGATCGAAAAAGTCTGGCTGCAAAGATGAAACCGCAACAATGTTAAAGCAATTTGATGCTGTTATACCTGCGGCCTTTGGTTCAAAGGGTGACAGCAGGCTGAGTTGCCTGCAAATATCTACATTGTTTCGGGTGGGGGTCTTCATGGTACATTGCTTCTTCCTACATGGGGATTTCGTTGGCGTACTGTTTACTGCAGTTCCAATATCTAGAAGTAAAAATAGGGACAGTTAGATTTGGTTTGTGAGCTTTAACACTTAAGTGACAACGTAATTGTAAACAAATTATAACTTACCAATATTTTCGAAGTTGTTACAATGCTCCTGAAATTTTTCCTAAGGCATTTCTTCTTCTTCCTTTGAAAGCTTACATTCAGTGTCTTTATTTAGCTGTGCAGCAGGTTCAGAGGAAGCTGCTTGACTCTCCGCTTGAGGTTTAGGT